TTTTTTTTTTTTTTTCTATAATTGATTTCAAGGTTGAAATCATTTATTAAATGAAAAAAAAAAAAAAAAGTAAATAAATAATTATTACTTTGATTAATAAATTTTCATTTAAATACGTTACGTAATCAAACTATGATGATACGATAATAATTTTTTTAATTTCAAGTTTTTTTAAATAAAAAGAAAATCCGCGGGAATTTTCAAATTATTTTTAAAAAATTCATCAGTTTAGTTTTTTTTTTTTTTTATTTAGAATATATATATAAGGCGTTAAACTAAAATTAATTAATTATTGATAACACAAAAAAACAAAATGGAGAATTCCAAATAAATGTAAATGCTGACACATAAATATAATTGATCTAATGAAAATAATAATGTGGGATTTGTTTAGTATATTCGATGAAAGTGGCAAGCGAAAGGGGGCAATCAATCATTGACATCAATTTTTTTTAAACCGAAGAAAAATAAAAATTTATGTTTTTCATGTTTACAAATAAACATTTAAGTTTTAAATTATAACCGATAAAAAAGAAATAAATAATAATTAAAAATTTAATCTGCACCACTTGTATTTTATTTTATTGAAATGTTATTTTTATTATTATTATATTGATAAAACATGTTTGAAATTAAATTTTTTTTTTTTAAAACTTATCATTAATTTTTTTTTGTTCAATGCTATATGTTTATTTTTTGTTTCAAATAATATATAAATGAAATTAATAAAAGTGATTAGGAGGGTAGTGAAATTCATTCATGTATGCAATATTATGCAATCGAGTTATTGTGCAATCTCGAAACATGTGGCTCACTGTTATTTTATAATACACCTATTGAAATTTTTTTTTCTTTTACTTTATTTTAACATAATTAATACTCAATGAGAATGTAGTAAATGATAAACAAGGTCATAGAAGAAAAAACCAATCAAATTTTATATTCATAATGTGTGGTTAGTACGATATATTAAAATGCCTATTATTTCACATTAACCTTATGTGATATTTTATGAATTATGAGTTCAACAAAAAGTTATTTTCATATGCTTATACATTAAATTTAACATTACAAATAAAGACAATAATAAAAAAAGTACTTTGGGTATTGAATTTGTTATCATTATCCATATCATATTTGAAAAATATGGTATGCCCATTTACATGTTCATATTAAACCGGGGGGGAAAAAATTATTAAATGAAATTAATAATTACTTTTTGTATCGATTTAAGTAATAGTTAAAAGCTTAATGATACAAAAATGATAATACTTTGAAAATTAGTAAAGGTTTAAAATAAAAATAAGTGAATAATATAACCTTATTTTATAACCTAACCAGGTTACATTCACAAACCGAATTTGAAAGTAATAAAATAATTATTAACCTATCAGCCCTATTAATAATAATTAAAGTTTTAAAAAAAAATTAATTAAAAAAGCCTTATAAATTTCTTAAACTTACAGTAATGTATATAAATAAAAAATAAAAAAAAATTTGATAATGTGTTTATTATAACCACATAAACACAAGTTTTTCAAGTTTAAGTTGTACGAATATAGGATCAGGGTTGCCAATAAAAAATTTTAAACCGACATATTTTGGCGCGCGTTATTATTATAATGTAAATAAGAAATAAAATAAATTTATTACACAAAATAAATTTATATAAATGATTATAAACAATTGGAAAGAAAGTAAGTTATTTATTTATTTATTTATT